ATGTAGTTGTTTAATTACCACTGACATATATGATAAAGATTTTATAATACTCCTACTTTTGATAGCTCAGAACCCTTAAATCTCATACAGAGAGAAGTTGTTTATCTGCAGTTGAGCTGTTTTTCACTCATTTGTAGCTGCGTTATGAGGACTTTCACCAACGCGATGTTCCTTCATGCCCAATGAAGTTGGGTGGCCCAGTCTCTTGACCCCAGAGCCGGGGAGCTGAAGAGCAATCCCTAGGTGCAGCCAGAGGTGTGCTAATAACTGGGACACTCTGGAAGGCAAGTTCCTCAGCAGTGACCTACACCTGAGCTTTGACCTCGTTTCATGGACCATCCACAGACTCTCTCAATCCCAGATGATCATTAAAATGTTGGTTGGTGGAGGCCACCTAGTCCAGCTTACTGCTTGGAAAAGGTCTTTCACCAACACAAGGTCATCATCCACTGATATATGTATATATTAATATATTTTTGGAGGTAGTAAAACCAGAAAAACACTAGTAGCAGATATTTTCTACTTATTTAGTGAGTATTTTCATAATCTCATAATCTTTTTGAGCTGTTAGGCTACACTGAGAAACACAGGCATCATGTTATTTACAGTTTGTCTGTCGTCTGGTATTAATTTGTAAGAGTCTTGGGGCCACTTTGTATCCAAGACTTGAAAAAGCACCTGTTTTACTGTCCAGGGAAAGCCTCTGAGATGTATGAGAAAAGAATGGTTATTTGGACTTGGTCTTTTTTTCATTTTACTGCCTAAGAGAAGAATCTTCGCTACATTTTCTGAGCACTAAAGAACTTGTGTCTTAAATCTCAGTCATTTTCAAAGAAGTTACTAACATAAAGGTTTCCTAATTTTTAAATTACATATATTCCTCTGTTTTTTTCCAATGAAGCTGAAGGGAAAAACGTATCTCAAAGGGTCATCCTTTTGCCCTTTAAGTTTGAGTTGGCACGATCACTACTCTGAAAGCAGTAATGGAAAATCCAAAAGGTTTTGTTGAATGTAACAGGGAAGGCTGATAAGGACCTGCTGATTTCATGGTTAAACAATGGCAGTTGTCCTCCTCCTGAGCTCTGTTGTAGTCTAGAGCTACATTTCTAGACAGGCTCCAAGACCTTTTCAGGGTCATGAGCACGCATCCGTTTGGTACACGTTTCAAAAAAACACGAGGAAGTGGAGTCCTGAAGAAAATGTCACGGTTGGCACTCCCTCTCCAGTTAAGTCCAGTTGGAGAACTGCTGGCATGGTGGCTTAGACTCTGCAAGTCATGTACGTGGACGATGCAAATCTTCAACATGATAATCTGGTGGCAAAGGGTGGTGGAATCAAACTGCCATAGTTGAGATGATAAACGGTTTTCCTGAATGTAACTGTTAGACGATGGAAAATTATGGGGAGGGGGGAAAAGAGGCCCTAAAAGCATTTTGTAAAACAAACCACATATATTTCCAAAGTCTCTAGGGACACGTAGAGTCGGAACTCGAACTATAATATTACAGAACTAATTGCCACAGAGCATTCCAGCAAGTCCTCAGAGGCTTGCATTATTCCCCATCAAAAAGGTTCATTTGAGCCTAAGACTTTGTCAAGCTTACAATGCAGACTGGAATCCTGCTGAACTTGCACTCTCTTTAAGGATAATTTTCACTCTACCACATTCCTAATGGTATAGATAAGGAGGAAAAATGTAGAATCCCATCCCAGCACAGACAGCAACATTATCAAAAACTGGAAATATGTGCAGCACAGTGAATTTTTGTCACACAAATCACAGCAACTATTATAAACTGCTTTCAAGTGCTTTTATTTATTCCACTATTACACTGCATATTCAACTGAATAGATACTACTAAGTCACTAGGGGCCAGCACTTTCTCAAAGGCAATACAGTACTTCTATAAAAGGAGCAACGTTTAAAACCTTGAACATTCAAAACCAACTGTCAGCCTGAAAAAAATTAATGGCATTGGGTCATAACCAATGAGATCTTAAATGATAAATCTGAATTCTCCTTTCCTGATGTCTGTTTTCAAAGTTTTTGGCTGCTTACTTTCAAGACTTCCCTGTCTAATGAGGAGAGCTGAAACCATTAAAAAAATGGCACTTTAATGTCATTTTATGATTCCAAAGACAGGGAGTTAAAAACCCCACTTCCTAAGTCTCAGGATAAAATCCTGAGAACTGGCAAGGTACGATGAAACAGATGGTTTAAAGCCCGTTGTTTCATTGGCTTAGATTCCTTAGTGGACTTATGGGGCAGATTCTTATCAAGCATTCCTGATGTCAAGTTTAGGTCTTTCAAGATCAAAACTGGAATTTTCAATGCCATATTTAACATGTAACTTTGTGGGACTTACCCATGGCCATTAGTTCCCATAACCCCATGAAACGTTGAGAAGAATATCTAATGTGGGCACTCTTTCCACCTAAGGGCCTGAGCTCTGTTTGACTTTTACTTTTCCTCTGTCTCCTTGGTCTTTCCTTTTTGTATGTAAACTAGAACCACTTCACCAGGAAGTGAGAATCCCCTCATGCCATAGGTGCCTATGGAGTAGGAAAACAGGAAAAAAAGGGAAAGAAATATGATTTGAAAGCCTGAATCTAAGGGTCCCATCTGCTTTGTAACTGTCGTGTCACAGAGGTGGGGGGTGCAGTCTTACTTCCTTTGATAGTGTTTTAAATGAGTCCTATCCAAAGTTAAGTCTGCAGATCTACTAAAGGTCAACTAGTTCATCCAGGTGTCATAAAAGATCAACCTTGCCAGCTGCAGTTTAAATCCAGGATATTTTGCCCTGTTTGAAAGAACGCAGACAGAAATTATCATTTATTTTATGCATAAAAATACTTGATGGCTTTCTTTCAAAAAATTTCATTCTTCTTCTATTCCAATCAAAGCCATTTCTTTCAATCTTCTTTTAGAACCTACTTTCCAGACCTTTCGTCATCCTTGTTGCTTCCTTCTGGACTCTAGCACACATTTTTTGATGGGTGGTTGTCAGCACTACAGGCTGCACTACAACAAAATAAACGAGCGCTCTTCAAGTCCTACCTATACCAATTTTTGGTAACTTCCAGTGCAACATTCACTCTTTGGCACTAGTAAGAAATTATTATCCACTGTAAACTCTTTCATCCAAAACTGCTACTTAGTTATATACTAGGATTACTTTGTGCACTTGTTCTTTAAAAAAAAAAAAAAAATCGTTTGTGAAGAAAAAATACATGCACTGAGTATCAGAAGGAAATCAGACTGGAAGTCCTAAGGCATGTATGTTCCCCTTGCCCTGACAGGTATGTTTATACCACAGATGGCATTGGATTTAAGGCATTCTCTCCCCAAAACTCTAAGCAGCATACTAACCACCATGCTGACTTTTAAGATTCAAGTTTGTAAATGCTGAATTCTCCCCTGAGGCACTGTTGCAGTGGTCTTGGCTTTTATTAATGGCTGCTGTAAGAAGCCCCATAGCAGTTGCTGAGCTCGTGTTTACACTCACTTCAGGCTTGTGTGCTTCACTAGTGAGGGTGAAAGCGGCCACGTACGTGCTGGGGCCAATACTGTTTAACATTTTTATCAGTGATATAGACAGGGGGATTAAAGGCACCATCAGCAAGTTTGCGGACGATACCAAGCTGTGTGGTGTTGTCGATACACCAGAGGGATGGGATGTCATCCAAAAGGACCTGGACAGGCTGGAGAGGTGGGCCCAGGTGAACCTCATGAGGTTCAACAAGAGCAAATGCTCTTGTTCTGCACCTGGGCCGGAACAATCCTCACCATCAGTACAGACTAGGGGGTGAGGGATTAGAAAGCATCCCTGAGGAAAGGGACTTGGGGGTGCTGGTGGATAGGAAGCTGGACATGAGCAGGCAGTGGGCACTTGCAGCCCAGAAGGCCAATCGCATCCTGGGCTGCATCAAAAGATGCGTTGCCAGCAGGTCCAGAGAGGTGATTCTGCCACTTTACTCTGCTCTGGTGAGACCTCACCTGGAGTATTGTGTGCAGGTCTGGAGCCCTCAATATAAGAAGGACATGGACCTGATGGACAGGGTCCAGAGGAGGGCCACAAGGATGATCAGGGGGATGGAGCACCTCTGCTACGAGGA